CTTCACTAAAAACTTATTTGATTTTAGTAATGTTGAACGCTAACAAATTACTTGAGGAACTACTTAAAAAATGCATAAGTCTAACCAGATGTTTTTTAAATGGATAATCTACTTACTACAATATACAAAATTCTGCTATCTGGGGACTTAAAGGCGAAGCAGGTACAAGATTATTATTCATCTGGAACTATCTTAAAGCACAAAGTAGCATAAAACATAGCAAGCCTAAGATTGCTCCTAACTTGTTGCTGGCGATGGAAGGTCGAGAGAGAATATTACGGTCCTGCCTGAAAATACCACCAGTTAAGAACGAATTTGTTTATCCTTTATTTGTTACTAACTCCCGCTTTATACTAAATAATTAAATATTTGTTTTTGCATATTTCTTTCAGTTTCTCGCAATAACTCAAATGTAAGATATATATACATTTATCAAGCGACACATACTCATAGTGCCGCGTGTATTCGCTCTGCTATACTTTTGCACCTTGCGGTTAAATGCCGCACCTTCTCAGACTGCTTGTCTTGATATAAAGTCTAATTTCTTTTTATGTGTGCACGCGCTCGCATCATCATCATAATTGTTTGCCATACATGCGTCAACACTTTCACTAATTTGACGCAGTTGCAAGCAACACTGCTGTTTTATGTCGCATAACTTTGTTGAAAGCAGTCGAGTATATCTGCTTTGGTCCTTTGTTGTCATATATATTTTGCTTCATTGTTGCTTCATTTATGATATGCTGTTGCTGGTTTTGTTGTGCAAAGAACACAAGTGCATTATACCATATTATTATTTAATATACATGTGTGTCTGTGTGTACGCTTCACTACTCATTTACGTATGCATTTGCAGTGCAATGCAATTATGTGTCGCAATGTCTTGATTGCAACACGTGCAACACGACTAATTCTCATTCTCACACTTAGCATTGTTCAACTATTTATTTGTGTTTATATAGTTTTTAGTGTGGCGCATTTGAATGAGCGTTTAGTTGTGTATGCGCCGGCTTCTTTGTGTGGCATGAAATTAAAAAATTGCTATCTGTATTTTAAGTGTGAATGCACAAGTGGTATGCGTGACACAATGACAATGTTGCGCATTGTTTCAAAAACTCAAAAATAGTAAAAACAAGCAGCACTGAAGTTATAATACCCTTCACAAGTGCATTTCTTATAGATAAAATCCTTCCTTTTTTCTTAAAAAGTGTGGGTTATTTGGAAATATATGATCTAAATCAAGAGCTGTAATTTCTCATTCAGGGATGCCTTTAACATAGTTCACTAAAGTTCAGGAAAATAGACCAGACAAACCTAGCATTCCTTTTTTAGACGGAATACATTGATTCGGAGCAGACTGTATCAATAAAAACAGCAGCAGCAAATCCTTTCTTACGAAATTGAAAAGGTAACGTTTTTAGCATTAAAAGGGCATAGGACCGTTATAGATCTGACGTTTCTGTGACTTTGTAGCATAAATCTGAGAATAGCGCTTCCTAAATATGTTTCGGCTCGACTAAGAACCATGAAAACTGAGATCCAGTCTTATTGTAAATTTTTTTCATGAACGATATTAAAACAGGTCGAGAGTTGGGGTTGGGACTGTAAAGAAGATATTTTTTTGCGTAATAGTCAGTTACCAATTTACGGCAGTTGACCACAGGGGTCACAATAGTACCCTCTTCGAACGCTCTAACCTAACATATGTGTATATGTATTATATACAACGCATGTACATGTTTTGCTACACATGTTTGAGTGTGTATTTCAGAAAAGACCGCTGTCTGCTCGGGAGTGTCCCTACAAGAAACTGCTGATGGATTCACCAATACACTCACACTTATTATGTCAGCACTGATAGTCAATTTAACCGGCCATTATTGACCGTCACTGTTACTGTTAAAAAGAGACCCTTACGATTTATATTGCTTACTATAGCTTTACATATGTAAGAATGAAATAGTTGCATTCTTTAGTACTGTCACCCCTGACAGTCAAATGAACAGTAAAATGACTGTCAATGTTTACGATTTTTCCAAAAGCAAATTCTGTATACGTCGAAAAATGATAGCATAAATTTTCATAGAAGTTGTGATATACAAGTACCTAAATAGCTGTTACAAGTATTACGTGTGATAAACCAAAAGGGTTGCGTGCTCCTGTGCAATAAGTCTTTTTGCATCCTTGCTCTTAAGAAAATGATAGAAACTTGGTTCTGCGCGCTGACAAAATTTTTTCAGCTGTGACTGTCATATTACCGGTCAGATGACTGTCACTGTTCTTGTAGGAGTGTTTGTCTACAATTGCATTAACGAAAATGAAATACAATTATCTGCAAGTTTTGTTCTTCTTACACCATACTATACCTCTATGCTTATAAGTATGCGTGCAACTATATTTTTTCCATTTTTTGTGCATCTTTTCTTTGTTACGGCATTCATTAACTATCTCATTGTTTGCATTTTTCTCACACGTAAACAACAATTAAAAGTTTTTCCAACGGACAATCGCTTTCCACAAACTTACACACACCACACTGCTCATTTACCGTTGCCGCTGCCACCGCGACCCGCGTGTGCGCCAATCCGCAATTATCGCTTAGCAAATCTACTTCCTTTTAATATCTTCATCAAATGCGTGGAATGTAAACAAGAAAATAAGTAACAAAGCGAAAAATAGCAACTGCAACAACAACAATTGCCGCAAAATACATCAACAACAGCGGCTGTGGCAACAAAAATTATAAGTAGCAAATCTAGCTTCATCAACGAAAACAAATACAGCATCGGCTTGCTTGCACAACAACGAGTTTAGCGAGCGCGTCCTTCTCAGCGCAACTACCGTTAGGTGTAGCAGCAGCAGCAGTAGACACGTCAACACTAACAACAATAGCAATAACATTTGTTGCAATGAGTAATAGCAAAAGCAAATCAAAGAATTTTCGTAATTTACTCTCATCGTTTGTGTTTGCTTAAGTACAACAACAAATGCAACAATAACTGCGTCAAGCACAACAACTACAACAGCAGCGCAATCAAATGTTTCTTGCGATACTTCGCGCCTAACATTCCGTAGCATTCCGTTGCTTTTTCCTATTCCGTTCCGTAGCCATTTCGTTCCGTTGTGTTTTGCGTATTGTGCGAATTGGCCAATTGTGAAAATCATCTCTTCATCTGCTGATAACAAAAGTGTCTCCTTTTCCGTTCCCTTTGCAACAAGTTTGGTTGCAACCGTCGATAGCTTTGGTATTTCGCTATTTTGTTTGTGGCCTATTTTGACGGATTATAGTGAGTTAGGTCTTGCACTCATACTTAAGGGTTGCCAAAGGTATGTAATTTTAAAATTTTAGTGACTGATGGCTTGTTATATTTGGGTTTTTTTTAGTTTATTGCTCTAATCTTCATTATCAAGAACTATTTTAATGATATTTTTACTAATTCTGGTTTTTAGTTATAAAATTTTTTAATTAACAAGCTTAATTATAAAAGCCGCTCGTATCTACTCGTATTGAAAACCTACGGATAACAATGTAATTACTTAGTTAAACAGATGTAGTTATGAAGAAAAGTTTGTTTCGCGATAAAATGTGGCGTAAAAATATTTAAAGTTTTCAATTACAATATATATTTTTTTAATAGCTAAATAATTTTAGAATTTTTCTTCTCATTGGAATATGGATATAACAAAGTAAAACTAATGAACAGCTTGAGATTATAGTATGCATTTTTCGGAGCAACTTTTTAATATTTTTATTACTATTAGAAAATGTTTGTGTTGTTGTTGCAGTAGGTAAGAAAACTTTAGATTTTAGTTTTAGTGTTTTCTAGATTTATTTACTGTTATATATTTGGTCTCAAGCTCAAGTACCGTATTTGCGCAAAATAATCGATCGAGTATTCCCAACTTGTTGCCTAGTTATCGAACAAAACGGTGCATATTCGACCTAAATCGCATCATTCTAAATAAAATATTTAATTTAACGAAAAAGTAATGGATTTATTTCCTTACATAAAAAGAATCCTTATATAAATATATTATACTTGTATGATATAAATGTTTTAACTTTTGAATATACATTGCGCTTAATATTAATAAATCTATCCCATCACTAAATCACATCCTATTTTTTTTTAGCGCACTGAGGTGTCACAAATTCGCAGTCACAGCTGAGATACACGCTCAAAATGGCGGTAAACATTCTGTTCGCAACTTCATCCATTTAAGACCACAGCAATTTTGCTATGCTACACAAAACCTAGACTTAAAAGACACTTTTATTTATATTAAGTATATAAAAGCGATAGTGATTAATAAATTTAATAATCGACACATTTAATATAATATATGCACGGATTCAAAAGATGAATTTAAAACTATTGTTCCTTTGCCACTTTGTACCTGCTACTCTGCAATGAGAGTAAATACTCTGCTCACTTCGTCTGTAACGTCAAACGGTAAACGGAAATATGTGTTAAAGAGATATTGCACTCTCACGCAGTGCAAACTTCCGCTCATCACGCGGAGTGTTGCTATAGCCAGCAAGCCAGAGTATCAGCATCCGGCGCTCCCACTAGGTGCAAACGAAAGCAGACGACGAGTCAACTTCGTTACCACTTCTGCTGCTACTGCTGCTATTGTCTCTGATTTCATTACACACGTTCCACCAATTGCTCAGTGCTCTTGCTCAGCGCACACGAAGGCACTCAGCACTGTGGAACATCGTGTGCGACGTCATCACTAACTTCCGTCACAGCATCGCTGTGCCGTTATTGCCAAATTGCGTCGCTGTGATGCTGTTGACCGCTCATACTGCTGTCGTGTTGGTTACAAATCAAACGAATCCTATTGCTCGGGTGTTGCCCATGCTGCCGCTACAACAAACGACGCTATTAACGCGGTTAGCGTTCTGCGTTGCTGTAGCGACTGTTGTTGCCGCCGCTGCTACTATTTGCTTTGCCGAATGCTGCTGTTACTGCTGCTGTGTCCCAATCGTCACACGATGTGCTGCTACTAAGTTGAAACTGAAACACGCGTTGCGGTATGCGCTGCGCGCTGTTCGGCTAACGACTTGCCAGTCAGTCTCAAAGGAACTTTTGTGCGGTTCGGTTTGGTTCGGTTTGATGTATTATACGTGCGAAATACATATTTCTCAACGTCGTGCGCTCGACTTTTCAATATTTATTGCGTTATGCCACTAGTGCTTGGCCCAAATTACGTACGCGTCCTTATCACGTGCGATTTGATTGGCATTATTAGGACATAAAAGATTTTTACTATTAGTGCAATATCTTTGCAACAATTTTATTGTGTGTGGTGAGAAAGTAGTGAGAATTCGATAAGCGGCAACCATATTTTGATGCCTGTGTACTAAGCAATTGTTGTGGCACGTTTATGTGACAAACAGTTGTTGGTGCTCTTGCTAGGTCAGCAGCGCATGTGCAATTGTGGTGCTAATTGTTTAACATTCTATGAATTTCTAGCGCTTGCTTTTGCAAAGCAAATTTCGTTCGTGTCCATTTCGCGTGGCAAGCAGCCGGCTTACGCAGCACTCGTTGGAAGTGTATTTCATTTCCTTTGCGCTAGTGTTATGTGCATTTGTTTGTCGTCGCTGTCACCGCTAGCGATAGCGCTGCCTGGTGCGTAAACTTTTATTGGCGCACTTGTTTTTGTAGTACCTCTACGCTCACGCGCTATATTGAGGGGTGTTAGCCGCGTGCCCTCGTTTTGTACGTTTGTTATTGTGCGCGCGTGTGTTGTGAATTTATATAAATAATCTAAGTGATTTTCAATTCTAATTTCCATAGCGCTTCCAAGCAACTACAAGCCATTCTTGCTACCACAGCGCATAATATACTATAGTGTCACATAATTCTCTTTGCAAGTAACACACAGGCAAATACATACATATTATATATATAGCGCGTAGTGACAGTGTCAGCTCGTAAAATGTTTGATATACTTGCTGCGACACCTGACTGGCATACCGACACGTACTAAAGACGTTCTTCGCTTCCATTGCGTCCACTATACTTGCTTACAACGCCATCAAACGCGTGCAACGTGCTGCTGAAGGACACTCAAGCTGTGTCGCATTGAGATAACTCGCCTGCTTGGTTACTGCTTCGGTGTGTCTGTGGTCGTTGTGCTTCTCATAAAATATCACCGTTGAACGTGCGCGAATTAGAAAGCCACAAGCGTGGTGGCAAGTACCGCGGTCGCAGCTCGGCGCTGGCTATGTAAATAGTGCGTTGCTTGTGTGCCACTGACTCTATTTTCCGGGTAAGTATTTTATTTTATGTAGCTTGTTTGTTATATATTTACGTGGAGAGAGTGTACGTCACAGTTGGTAGCAACGCAACTTTTTACGAGGGGCCTACCACCGCCGTGTGCAGCTCTCTCTGGCCTCTGTATTGACTGTGCTGCGTGGGGCAAGCGAACATTTTAATTTTCTTTCAATGTTATGCCATTTGTTACTACTCTTTTTACACGCGCAGAAACATAAACAATCGACGTTGTTATTTTTTGCTGCTACTGCCCTTTTCTCCTACCTCCATTCAGTTGAGTGTAAAACAATTTACAGCGTCAGCTGGTTTGCTCGCACTTATTTTTTGAACAAAAATATTTTTTTTTGGGGGAATTTTATTGCGTACTTTCTGGTGCTTTACCTACAGACATACCTACATATAGTATAAACAAACAGCAGTCAGTCGTACCGTGGAGCAAAACAATTTGGTTGCTAAATAAAATATTTTGCTAAAGGTAATTGGTGGCACGCAATTTGCACTCATCTGTGTGTGGGTGGAAGAAGCTTCACTTTGCGGATTTATGATGCGTTGAGCTGTCTGTTGTTATCTGAGTTGGCGGTTATGTGGCATAGTACGAAACAGTTGTATGTCTCTTTGTACGGCTTGGGTACTTGCCTCCAAAATGTATAGAATTTGTAGCAAAGTGACGTGTGATAAGCGCTAACAGCTAACGGCGAGCTGTTTGCCATGCAAATTCTATGCGTCGCGACCGGTATGCATGCCTCGCATAATTGTGGCAGATACATACGTATGTATTGTGTGGGTGTGTCGCTAAGTATCGGCGTTTGGCACTTAGCTGCTGAATTGGAGGCCGATAAACTTTGCGAGTAATTATTTTTAATTATTCAGCTGAAGTTACGTGCAACGCGGGCGTTTTATGGATTTCATGCAAAAGATTTAAGTGTATGTTCTTTTGGTGTTGTGTAGATAATTATTTTTTTAAAGTCATTATTTATATATAATAGAATTCTTATCATGTTGAATAATAATTAATTCAATATAATACAATATATATATTTACTATGAAATATTTTTATGATAATAAAATTGTTATTAAGCAATATTATAACAAGCCATAAATATTTAAAATATATTGTATTTTATAATATAAATAAATGGAATATTCAATGAAAACCGAAAATAAATAAAATGACTATTCTAAATTTTTTTTTTTAAGTGGTAATTTTCGGCAATAATATATAGTCGTACATTATTAACGATGGTATGGTTTTAAGTAAAAGTAAGTCGGGTTTAACAAAGCAATCTAGTATTTAAAAAAATAGTGAATAATAAAATTAAAAAGGTTTTCGTGAAAAATGGCATAAATAAAATTTTACGAAAAGCAAATTAAAAATAGTTTTTGTTTTTTTTTTATACACCTCTTTGGAGAATTTATTTTATAGCAATCTTGTAAATTAATACTAATAAACTATTTGTTTCTGACTTAAATTTATACGGTTTAAAAATTACAAAATGCTTATCCTATAATATTCATTTCAGATGTATAAATTTATACATATGTATGGATTATAGTCACGATTTTAGTGAGACCTGAACAATGATTATTTTATTTATAGTTTTTTTTTTTACACAAGTTCGAAAGGTTTTATTCGCTTTAATCTTCTGGTAAGGCCATCATTATTAAGGAGCTGGAGAGCCTCAATGTTGATATGTTGTTAAAGTCGTTGTTCATGACTTTGAGCATACTTTTTGTCAACTTTTTGTTTTGACGTTGTCAACAGTTTCTACATTCAGATCTATATGCAACTTGTCATTACGAATGTACCAGGGTGCATTAACAATACCACGAAGTACTTTGTTTTGAAATCTTTGGATAATTAATCTGTTGCTTTGACTGGTACAGCCCAGAGTTGAATACTATAAGTCTAGATCGGTTTAAGGACTTGGTGATACAAAAGTAGCTTGAGGTTGACCGATATTTTTGGTAAAAAATTGGCAATAGGAGTTGGCGTCCACATATTCGGTATCTGGGTGCTTGAATAGTTTTAATTCAACTTGCACAATTTTTGGTCATAACCGGATTGGTTCTTAATGTGTACTGAAAAGAATCAGCTGGAATTTCAAATTGTTATATGAAAGTAGGCTTGTTTTTTGTCCGATTTGTACTGTATTATAGGAATATCAGAGCTAATATTACGCACCGAATATGGCTGAAAACAGTCGAGTAGGTCCCGAGTTATGAGTTTCCAGCTAAATGTGGGTGGTGCCACGCTCATCGTCCATTTATCAACTCGTGTGTTAAATTTTATAACTCTGGCGCATTTAGTTATAGATTTATCGCACTTTTTGTAGTTTTTAACTGAACCATTACGTTATAATCCGAACCACCCATTTTCTAAGGGTGAGTAGGGATGCCAAAATGTTTTGCCCTGAGCGAATTTGTTTATTTAGGAGATATGTACATTAAACTTATTAAACTTTTTTTTTAATTTTTTCAACCATAGATGTGCCTTGCTAATTCAATTCGTTGTACTAAATTTCTTATTGTGAAGCTTAGTTATGGCACTTTATATGTTTTAGATTAATGGCATTTAGTGGCCGTGGCAATGGTCTCCTTTCGCCCATCTGCCATAGCAACCCTCCTTTGGTGCAATGGACCAAGCTTCATGAAGATATCTCAATTTTTTTTTCAAATTATCGCTTGCATAGACGGACGAACGGACAGACAGACAATTATTATAAAATCTATTGTTTTATTTCACCATGGCAAAGTGGGGTCTTTGAAGCAAACTTGTATCACACTTTTACTGTACAAGAATGTTGAAAAAATTTAACCGATTTTTCTGTGTTTAATTTTAAATGGATCAGTCATGAGCAAATTTTTATCAGTTTATAAAATCAGAAAGTTGAAAAGATGTTGTATTTACGATTTATAATATCAGTCATTTGAGAAATCTTAAGCAAAAACTTGAAAATCTTTCCATGTGTTTCTAAAACTAGTCAACGGATCTGAAAACTCAAACAGATATTCCATTAGGCAAAGCAAATTTACAGGTATTATTCGCTCAACTCTTCAGAATTATTGGCGGATTATCTAAAAGAATATCGCAATTGGTCATATTATGCTGACTTCCGCTATACAAAAGCACTTCTGTCGCACTTATAACATATAAATAAATTCAAATAAAAAACAATAACCAATAATAATAACAAATTGAGCGCAATTAATAATGCGTTACGCAACTTATTACTGCAAAAAGTATGCAGTTATTAATAAAAATATTTAATGCTAAAATTACGGTTGACGGAAGTTGCGGAATTTTCCAATGAATTTTAAAGCTTTGCAACTCTAAATACAATGCTTCTTTATTATACCATCCCAACATGAAAGGCAATATAGACTTTTAGAGTTGCTATGCAACAGTAATTTGGCAAAAAATTTATATAACCACGTATCTGCCTTTATTACGCACATAAAACTAAGATTTAAATATAGCAACTGTTGTGAATTATATTTAATTAAAAGTAGATTTCGATTACGTTCAAAGTTTGATTGAATAAATTTGAAGAATATATGGTTTTTATTATTGAACGATATTTATGGGTTTTTCTGTGCGCTTTCTGTTGACATTACACCGCGCGAAATTATAACGCCGAAATGTAGGCAAACTTTTTCAATCTAATTTTTTGCATACTTAATTCATTATCTGCAGTTAAAATATCAAATTCGCTGAAAATTGTGATGAAAAAATTATTCATATCTATATATATGTAATTAAATATATTGTATACTTGTTGGCGCACTAATTGGAACTCGGAAAAATATTATTACTAACAGTTACGCTCCCGTTATTCTTGTCGATAATGGTATTGAAAAAAATTTAATATAAATCGCAATAGCATTAAAATGAAACTAGTAGAGATTTCAGCTTATGTAAATTTATGGACTTAGATGCTTTACTTAATTTTTAAAATTTTCTCATTTTTATACACACTTTCAGGTTCTTTTTTGGGTACATAGCACAATATGGGGTCCTAATATTTTTAATAAGCCCAGTATTCAAACTGATAGAGGCTAGAAAATTTCATAATATAAATCTTTTTTGGATGAAAGCTTAAATATCCGACTACTTGGATGGAGAAATATTATAATAAGGATCCCAAAACATACTTTTTAAAGTAAACAGAAATCTTTGCAAGCGGAGTGGGACACATTTAATATCTGGTATATAACCGAACAATATGTTAACTATTGATCGGAACAATAATATTCCTAAAAGCTTTCTTAAGTATTCTTCTTTTAAGAAGTTATATGCCGATTTTTTTGCTCGTGAAGATGCAATTATGTTCCTTCACATTTCCATAGAAAGCGATATGCCTGGTTGCTCATGACCACTTACCTTATACCGATCCAAATTTTTGGGTTACCCAGTATCAATAAAACTCCCTCAAAATAATGCTCTTTATTAGTTCATGATTTCTGATTCAAGAATCGCACCGAACTAAAAAAAAATATATTTTGAAATAAATAAAAATTTAATCACCTAATTAACATTCATTCACATTTAAGTTAGCTTCAGTTCTATGGGGATCACACTTAGCCTTTATACTATACAGTCCTTTGTGAAGACAATTGCTTATGAAACGGGCATACATTAAAATTTTTACCGCATTAATTCTGATTGGGCAGTGGCCAGTTAGAACTCCTAAAACTAGTGAAAGATGAACTAGAAACTCTTATGATTTACCCTGGACTGGCAAGACCGCAGTTTCCTGCGATTCCGCTTGGTCACACTTAAAAGCATGAAATTTAAACTAAACCCATGCTTTGACTTGTGTGATGCCAAAACAGTTAGTTTTTGGATAGCTAAATTATTATGCAAAAAACCTTAGCAATGCAAATCTTTAAATTGCATTAACAGTTCTTTGTTTAGCAAGCATTAAAAATGCTTCTGTCTCAACTGTACACTTCCAAAGTTGTTAGCAAAAATAATACTTCTGACATCGAATATT